GAATCTAAAGGGCCCACTGTATCTGTAGTCAGGCACTGGTCCTTGAACTCGTTCATTCTATCCCACGCGGACACTTTTGGATCGACTGATCCACGAACATTTCTCTTCTTTTTGGCTGGATTAGTCGGCACTTTTCTTTTCCGAGAGATACTGGCTTTTTCTGGAACACTTAATCTAGCTCCAGCACTAGCTGCTTCTTCCAAAGGATCTGAATATTCATCATCTTCACTCGAGCATGAATTATCACTCGCCTCCGCCATTTTGAATTTTTGAGCATATCCGCTGACCACTTTCGTCTGCTACCACAGGCAGCCCAGGGGACCGGTATTTTCACTGTGTTTTACACAGAAATGGCCGAATCACATAAAAGTTTAAATTAGAACTTTAATGGGTGGTTTTTAGACAAATTTTAGTTACAAATTGCCTTAAAAGGGCGAGAAAGTTATTCAAAAAGGAAAAAAATGCTCGAAATCCGAAAAGTTGCTCGAAGGACTAAAAGTTGCTCCAAATCCGAAAAGTTGCTCAAAAGTTGCCGAGCAACTTCGGGACAGCCCTAGTGCTTGCTCGATCAACTGAAGGGAATTTTCATTCTTCTATTATCGTTTTCAATGAGGCTTTTTCGTTTCGTTTGCGGTTTCTTGTCCACTTTTCTTGGCTTTTTGTCGTAATGTTCGACCGTTCACAGTAAAAATTTACAATTTTACGATTTACATTTTAGCATACAGTATCGGTTGCTACAAAGACACCCGCCGAAGAGCGATACGCCCTTTGGAAGGTAGAAGCCGCTTCCTGAAAGGAAATTACCGCAGAAGACGAGACGCTCTTCGCAAATGTTTCCAGGCAGCTTATAGACGGGGCTACAAAGTGTTTGCGTTACAGCATCAAGGATGGTGTGCATCCTCAAGGATGGCTCACATAACATACCGTAAATACGGGCGTTCTAACAGATGTAGGAATGGAAAAGGAGGACCTTGGGCTAATGATGTTTACGTTGTGAGGGGTAAGCATGTGATCCTTGTGCATATTTTAGTAGAAGCAGCGAATTATTGTTATTATTATTATTTTTTTTTTTTTGAGAGCAAGCGGCACTATGTCAGTTTAGCTCGAAAATGGGGTAGCCAGGTGGAATACTAAGGTCCCCTGCCACATCTTGTATAGAGGTTTTGCGTAGCAGCCATGTTGGATGGCAGGAACAATGAAAATGTTTTGCATAAGAAAGAAACTTTTTTTCCATGGGTAAAATAATCTATTATTCCTGCCATCCAACGTGGCTGCTGTGCAAAACCTCTATTGGTCCGTGGGGCCGTCTTATAAAGAGAAATTCTGAGAACTGACCAAACCAGTTCTCTCGTAACTGAGCCTCTGCTTTGAGTGTGGCTGACTATTTTTCACGCTCGTGCGCGGACCAAAAGAGGGCAGACCATGAAATGACGGTGCGCTTTACCAAATGCAGAAATCCCAAAATATGCAGGAATTGAGAGTGTACATGATTGCAGGCTATGATGCGAAATAATTACTTTCCCTCTGAAATTAAAACGTACGTTAGAGCCGAATAGCTGAACGCCGTAAGTTCGAGATCTATTCTTTGCAGTGGTATGTAAGCGTTACTGCACTTTTAACAATGTTCTTTAATTGCTTCGCTTTCTCGCAGGTTCCTGTCGCACAAGAACAACCCGCAAAAACTGCTGTGTATTCCCGTTCGTCTACAAGGGCAGACGATACACTGGCTGCAGCAGGATCAATGCTGCTCGACCATGGTGTGCTACTACTTCAAGTTATGATGCTGATAAGATGTGGGGCTATTGTGAAGGACATGGAGGTGGGTAATAATTTACGTATATCAACAAAGTTGAAATGGTCAATTGGCCACCGTAACGATTACAAAAGCTGACGTTTAGAGCGTTAGCCCTTCGTCGGAGCCCTTCGTCGTTAGCCCTTCGTCCATTCGCTCCGACGAATTTATGATAGATCATGATGCTAAAAAGTGTTAGCTTATAGAAGGGAAGGGAATTAAGGAACAAGTTATGTTAAACAGCCTTAATTATTATCCTGGATTTAGTTCTTGATTGCACCCTTAAGGGTTTATCGGATACATTTTTCCTATCCTGGTACGATTCAATTCGTTTATTCGGTATTTATGCCACTCCTATATTTGTTATTATTAAAAACTAGATCATTGGATAATGCATTCAAGACTTTTTATTGGCTTAGCCATTATGGTATATCAGCCAATATACCATAATCTACAAATATGGCAAGCGTACGTGTCAGCTTAAAATTAAAAGGGAACTAAAAATTTAATAAAATTTAATATTTAATTTAACGTTTTTAATAAAACAATTATTCCACTCGCGCTTGTTGGATATGAGATGATTATAGCCAACTCGGCGCTACGCGCCTCGTTGGCTATTTATCATCTCACATCCAACGCGCGCTTGTGGAATAATTGTTAATTAACTCGTTTTATTTCTTTGCAGTCTCTTTCATCAGAGTTACACCTTCACTTACTAGTAAGTACTTAAATTCCAGCCAGGAACTTATATTATCCAGGATTTCTTTAGATTTGCAAGCAATTCAATAATAATTAGTTACTGTTGGTGTGAAATACGTCTGTCACTTGAAAACGTATTTATACAGCCTAGATTTCCAAGCTCAGCTTAAGAACATCGGTCTACGAAATCCGAGTGTTTCGGGTTCGATTCTTCGTGTGGGACTTAAATTTTTGTTTTTGTTGTCCTACACGCGTGACATACTAATCTCTCTTCATTCGACAGCCGAGCCGACTAAAAAATATACCATTCTTCCACCTCGATAAGTTTTGATTCATATTCCCTTGTTTCCTTCAGTCCGAAGGGTCGGTTGCTTCAGGGACACATCTCGCCGAGCAATCCCTCAAATGGATGGCAGAAGTGTGCTGTTAAGAGGCAACTACCAGCGCCGTCCATTAGCCATTCGCAAGTGCGCGCTTGTTGCTGCAGCACGGGGATACAAATGGTTTGGAATCCAACATGGTGGTTGGTGTGCCACAGGACCGCATGCTGGGAGGACGTATGCGAAGTACGGTCGATCAAATAGATGTAGGAATGGCAAAGGTGGACCTTGGGCTAATGATGTTTATAGAATAGCAGGTGGGTGATGCACTTTGAAAACAACCAACAAGTGTGTCATACATTAAATATCGAAGCATTCCCTGTTTTGTTTCGCCACCATATCTTAAGACCTTCATTTCGGGAACCAGGCCCTCTGCTAAAGCATAAATTTTATAAAACGTGTATTTATTTAGTAAGTAACTTGTTTTCGATCACTCCTATGGGTTTTTTTTTCTCACTACAGGAACTTGCAGGTATCGTACTACAAAAGGCAACTGCTGTTCATTCCCGTTCGTATATCGAGGGCGTCGATACAACCGTCCCGCCAGGGCTCGAAATGGCCGGAGATGGTGCGCAATTACTCCAGACTATAGAACAAACAAACTTTGGGGGTACTGCAGGGGAGGAAGAAAATGTAAGGCGCTTGGTTTTTACTGTTATTTTAACAGTTAACTCTCAAGATCGGATTACATTACTAACCCTCCCCTCCCTGTTATTTCCTCTACAGCTCCACCTATCAGAATCACTCCTGGAGTTGTTGGTAAGTTTAACATCGACTTGTCTTTGATTTGTAAACTTATTGATTTTGAAGTCTTTTACAGCTGGAGACAGTTTTAGACGATTACTTAGGGTTAGATCGTGACACCCAACGGGATATGTACAGAAGGAGAAAATTTTAAGAGTACATCTAGACTTCTTTAATCCTTTATCCTCTGAGAGTAACTAACAACTAAATTCTCTTTACAATGTCAGCCCTGAATTACACGAGAATCTAGGAAATGATCACCGACTGAAGAAGCTCTTGACTGTTAAACAAATTCTCATTCTCAGCTCATTAGGAAATGTATAGAGAACACGCATAATGGTGTTAAGGATTAAGATTTACGCGAGTTTAATCTTTCCTCTTTTTACAGTCAAGTCACTGGGATGCTTCAAAGACACTGGTCGCCGTGCTATCCCAGGAGTGGACGGTCGTTACCCAATAGTAACAGGATATTACCGTAAAAGAGCGGACGCCATCAAGAAATGTGCTGCAGTTGCTATGAGGTTTGGTTACGTAGCTTTTGCAGTTCAACATCAGGGATGGTGCGCTACAGGTTCAAGAGCTCACTTGACCTACGGAAAGTATGGACGGTCCACTCGATGTAGGAATGGAAAGGGAGGACCGTGGGCTAATGACGTGTACCGGGTGTACGGTAAGTTGTCGGGTTAAGGTGATCGCTCGGGTGAGGGCAGGACTGAAAAACAACTAACTTTTATTGAAGAAATTTATCTGAAAGCGGAAATCTTTACAAAAGTCAAGTGGGACAGAGTTTTGTGAGTCGAATGTGTTAAGTCAGGTTCTTTCAAACTGATAGATGTCGGTAATGCTGCGATGTCATTGGCTGCAAGGCCCATAAGGTCCATATGGGTTGGTCCAAGAAGTGAGTGATGAGTGGTCCAAGAACATTTTAAGCCCACGCTGGTTTTCTCTAAAGTGGTGTCTATTAGGGGGTCAAGTGAAGCTTAAATCATGCCCTGATTGGGGGGGATGGGCGAACTCCCCCTTCCACATAACTTTCCTTTCCCTCCCTAAATGAAAACGCTCATCGTGAATAAAAATATCGGAAGGGGAAAAATAGTCCAAGTTTGTAATGATTATTTTTTTAACCGCCATTAATTTAGTAAGTCTAGTAATTCCGCATTTTGTTTTCTAATCGCAGGACATTGCCGGAAGCGAACGACATCTCGCTACTGCTGTGTGTTTCCGTTCATCTATAAAGGTCGTCGTTACCATAGCTGTACAAGGAAAAACCACAATCGGCCGTGGTGTGCTATTACAGGCCATTACGATCGGGATAGGAAATGGGGTAACTGTGCGGGTGAGTCTAATTGTTACTTTTACTGAGAACAGAATGCCATTCACTCTTGAAGTGAGTCTTATGTAACAAAACCACTCTAGTTGCGTTTGATCATCCGTCTCTCTCCATGGTTGTCAAGTTGGGGAAAAATTTGCCATGTTTTTTATTGTTTCCAACTGTGTGGGTGTGTCTAATTCTTACTACTACCGAGAGCAGAACACCATTCGCTCTTGTAATAAGACCACTCCAGCTCCGTACGAACATGCTTCTCTCTGTGGTTTTCAAGTTGGGTGAAAATTTGCGATATTTTTTAGGGGTTCCAAAGTGAGTGAGCAATCATATGGAGCTTTTTCCTCTGGTAAATGTTTGGCATTTGAAAAATAAGGTCAGACAGTTTCAGAGATAAATAGATTTATTAAAAACTGGATCACTGTATAATGCAATTCAAGACTTTTGATTGGCTTAGCCATCATGGTATATGAGCCAATATACCATAATCTAATATCTGTACCTTGTACCATCCGGTTTCTTCCTACAAAATAAAGTCGAGAAGATTTGTCTAATATCTTGGGGGCGTTTTTTATAATAAAACAATTATTCCACTCGCGCTTGTTGGATATGAGATGATTATAGCCAACTTGGCGCTACGCGCCTCGTTGGCTATCTATCATCTCATATCCAACGCGCTGGTGGAATGATTGTTAAATATGTATATTTTTCACTTTTTAGGTCGCCGACCGGTCAAACCTGTTCGTCCAGTTCGTCCAACGGGTGAGAACTTCATTTTATTTGAAAATAAATGGCTGAACTCAAAAGGGATTCAATTGATTTATTTCTATAATATCTATGTATTTCAGGAAAAACTGTAAGAGTAACAGTTAACTTAGTTGGTAAGTATACTTCGAACGTTTGTCTATTTTGGTGCATTTGTTTGTCAGGCTGTCCTTTTTTTCAGTTTGAATTGTATATTCCTCGCTTAATTCTTTGCAAAAATTGGTTTAAACTTAATTATTTTTTTTTGGCTGAGGTAGGAGTAGGTGGTCGTTATATGACACGGCAGGAAATTAAACTTATTTTTAATTAATGTTACTTTGGAAAGATTTTTGTTTTTTGTTCATTGCCTGATGCAACTTGTTTCCACTTAGCCAAGGGTATCGGCTGTTACAAAGACACTGGCCGACGAGCCATACCAACCTTGGAGCGTAGAAGTCGCCTTCTTAAAGGAAATTACCGTAGAAGGCGATACGCTATCAAGAAATGTGCTCTGGCGGCTTATGCAAAGGGACACAGAGTATTCGCTGTGCAACATGGAGGATGGTGTGCTTCAGGAAGGAGAGCTCATCTCACTTATGGAAGATACGGGAGATCTAACAGATGTAGGAATGGAAAGGGAGGACCTTGGGCCAACGATGTCTATGTACTCAGAGGTATCCGTCTTACTCGTATCTCTTCTGAAGATTTTTCTTGTTTTCCCATTCCTATGCCTTTCTGTTCAATAAGCTATTTCCGAGTTTCAAAGACTTTCGTTTCTTAAATGAGATCAATTGCGAAACCTTTCCTGAATACGCAAATTTTCTTAGCATTACAATGAAAACTGATATTCATATCAAACGTTCCGCACTGAACCTCAAGGCTCTGGGCATTTCGGAGATGGCCTTTTTATAACCTCTTTATACCTTCTTACTAATTTATTTTTTCCTTTCCTATTGATAGGTTCATGCCGTGTGCGCTCTTCCACTGGAAACTGCTGTGTGTTCCCATTCATCTACAAGGGCAGACGATACAACCGCTGTACCAGAGTCAACTCCAAACGAGCATGGTGCGCCACTACACCAAATTACGATCACGATAAGCTATTTGGGTACTGCGGAGGGAGAAAACGTAAGGAATGTGTTAAAGACTAGTCTGTTTACCGTAGACATAATGACATTCCGCTAAGTTGATGTAGTTCCCTCTTAATTCTGCGTGGTAAAAACGCTGTGTTCTTCCTTGAAGGAGAATTCTTTCTCACCTATGTTTGCATTTTGTTAAATGGAGTTTAACATAGTTAACGACTAGGAGCAAATCTGTTCTGTTGCGTTTGGTTGGCGTACTGTTAGCGTATTAGCACTCGGTTAGCGTTTGCCAGGCGTTTGTGTGGGTTCCGTAGCGTTGTAGCAACATTGTGGCTGTTCGTAGACTGGGGTGGGCTGTGTCCAGCGGTTACCTCTATCTGTGCATGTGCTGGTTCTCCCATGTCCTTGCTTTGTGTTGGCTGTACGTTGGCGTGGCGTTGTCGTCCGTGAGGATAGCTTTTCGGTGTTCCCTCCCTCCCTTCCCATTTTGCTTTTGTTTAGGGAGTTTTTATTTGGTTATATTTGTTGATGTATTTATTTTCTATCTTATTTTTGTCTCCTCATTTTCTCTTCCACTAAGCCTTCCGGCTCTAGTGTGACGGGTGCTCGGCGCGGGGGAGCTCGTGGCTGGGTTGCGGGTTGGGCAGGCCAATCAGGTATTCTAGTGCCTTGGGTGCGACTGCGGTTGCAGCTCCCAGGCCCCTTGGGCACCTGACCTCCATTTGCGACTTGGGCGTTAAACTCTTGTTACTGTTAGAAAGAAAAAAAAATCGACTAAACTTTGCACAATTTTCTCTTAAAACAGCTGTGCGTCCAATTGGGATTACCACTTCGATAACACGTGAGTAAAATAACTCAGTATTTATGGTGAGAATAACTCTCTGTAATATTCCCTTCGGTCTTACCGTTAATTTATTTTGTAGTTAAGTATTCCTGAAAATTTTGCTTCCATTTAAGTAACTTAAGGAAATCTTTCTTGGTGAGAGAAGAGGTCAGCTTTGAAGGTGACTGCCGATGACTCCGTGAAGTCATTCTAAAAAGAATTTTGGACAGTGTTCTAAAAAAAATGGCCGAATTTTTTTCTAAGAAAAGTGTACGGTGCTCTCGTACGTGGCATGGCTGCCCTGTCTGTTTCAACTGTTCTTTGTTAGTTCGCTTTTTTCTATGCAAGTTTCCTTGGTGAAGACAAACAAAGGATAAACATCTCTGTCTTTAGTGCGAATCAAAAAATTTCATGTCAAGATTCATGGATCTTTTAAAAGATTTTTTACACGCGGACCACAAAGAGAATGAATTGCCTCGCATCAACTTTTACCCTTAAATGATACCCTTTTAGGTTTGAAATGTATGTTTATTATCAAAACTGGGTTCCAATAACCTTTTCTTTCGCATGTTTTTCCTTCAGTCCAAAGTATAGGATGTTACAAAGACACATGGCGCAGAGCCATCCCGATAATTGAAGGCCGAAGCCCGTTCTTAAGAGGAAACTACCAGCGAAGAAAATACGCCCTTCAAAAATGTGCTTTAGTTGCCATAAAACGTGGCTACTCCTACATGGGACTCCAACATGGCGGACAGTGTGCATCAGGACGTTATGCCTATAAAACCTATGCAAAGTATGGCCGGTCAAACAGGTGTAGGAATGGAAAAGGAGGAGCATGGGCTAATAATGTCTACAGGATTTCTGGTGCTTACACTTTTTAGCTACGATGCTATCGATTTCGCACAGGAAACTCGCACAGCTCCTAACCTGCTCTTCTGGAAGGAGAGGAAATTGTTTTACAACCCACAATATATTTCTTTTCACAGGAAGGTGTAAGCAGCGTACCGTTACAGGCCACTGCTGTGTGTTCCCGTTCCGGTATGGTGGGCGCGTATACAGGTCATGTACAGCACGTGGAAGTCGACTGAGGAGGGCCTGGTGTCCAACCCTCCCAGGCTACCGCAAAGGACAACCTTGGGGATACTGTAGAGGATATCGAAGTACGATGTCATCTTGTGAAGTTTGTTTGGTTGTTTATTTATATTTTTGAGTTATTCGTAAGATAGTGTTTATGTGATATCCGCAGTCACATAAGCACCCTTAGCGCTTGGGCTAGAAAACCGAGCTGAATGAACTCGGTCCGTAACTTAAAGTACAGACTTCGAACTCGGTTGGTAAGGAGGGTTTACAATGAAAGTAATTAAATGAACGTATTTATTTTGTCAACAGCTCCACCGACACGAATCACAAGTGGAGTTGTCAGTAAGTATTCAAATATTTACTAAACCAACTTCCTCTCGCCATCCGCTGCTTTCGGTTTTGGAATTCGACAAAAAAAAAATGCATCAAGTTGGGTATTATTATTCATTCAATCTTCCCTTCTATTCTAAGATTTTGTTATCGGATTAATTTAAGAGTGTCTTGTGTTATGCAGGCCTTTTCAGGTGCTTAGGATATTTAGATTTTCGGGGTCTTTTTTAAATCAGGTGTACGGTATTTCCTAAACGCAACACGTATATATATTTTGTTCTTAGTGGATCTCAGCCATTAGGTATCGTGTATATTCACGAGTCCACGTAAGCAAATTCTTAATATTTGGAATTGAAGATTCCATGGGGGAAAATTGGGTATATCTGTATCCCACTACCTCCCCTCTCCCTCTCTCTACCTTTTTCTTTGCTCCCCCTCCCCCCTTGGCTATGCCCTCAGATTTGCCACTCTCCCTTCCCCTCTACTGTAAACGTTAATTAACCTTTTTTTTCCCCCCATTTTCCTTGATAACTCCGTTTAGTCAAACCACTTGGATGCTTCAAAGACACTGCTCGGCGAGCTATTCCAGGAGTGGACGGTCGTTACTCGTTAGTAAAAGGCTACTACCGATCACGAAAAGCCGCCATTGAGAAGTGCGCTCTTGTTGCTTTGATGCTCCGAGCCAAGGTGTTTGCTGTCCAACATCAAGGATGGTGCGCTACGGGTCGAAGAGCTCACGTGACGTACAGGAGATATGGACGATCCAATCGGTGTAGGAATGGAAAGGGAGGACCGTGGGCTAATGACGTGTACAGAGTATATGGTAAGTACTTCGTACTGTTGGATACAATAGTTACAATAAATTTTCTTGTCATTTTGCTGATTTCAATGGGGAGCCACCTAAGTAATTCGCGTTACTTAGCAGGACTTGGCTTAACGCGCAGCTTGGTGGAAACGGATAGTAATCCTTTGCTAAGTATGCTTTGTGTTTCGCTCTTGTCCTCCTTCACTCATCTGATAGTGTGTTGGGGTTTGCCTTCTTAATGCTGTAATTGTTAGCGCTGTGTTCTACGGTTTACAAACAAACAGACAGACAAATTAGTGCGACAATATTCATATTTAGACATTCCATTGAAAAAATTTTTCCCTGTAAGATATGTTTTGATCTCCTTTTTCCAACTTGTCTATCAATCAGTTAGCATTAAGCACACGTTCTTTAATTTCCCTTCTAGGATCCTGTGGAGCAAAGACAACTACACGTTATTGTTGTTCGCTGCCGTTTATCTACAAAGGCCGTCGTTACAACAGTTGTACAAGAAAAAAGCATAATCGTCCATGGTGTTCTTTAACTTCTAACTATGACCGTGACAGGAAATGGGCCAACTGTGCCAGTAAGAGTTTTGTTTACGTCAGAAAAAAGGGAATTGTTATTATGACTTGGTGTTGTTTTTATGTTTTTCTTTTTTAACGTATTCGCATTTCTTTTCAGCGCGTAAACCTGTCCGACCAGTGAAACCAATCATTCCACCCAATAAAGGTTAGTTAATTGTGTATTTTTGTGTTACTCTCGTGCAGTCCTCAGAGCAGTATCTCCTGATGTTTCAAACAGAGTTGAGACACGTTGTAATTAATTTTTTGTTCCGTTGTTTTCTCCTATAACATCTCTTTTCTTTTCTTTGCAGCACGTATTGTTCAAATCACCATCGGTTTGAAAGGTAAATCTTAGATCTCTGAATAATTTAAAGTGTAACTCTTCTCCCTTAGGACACTTCTATTTAGAAGACTCTTCCATTCAAGGGAAACACACTTTGGATCCGACTGATTAAGATGTTCTTATAACCTATTCACTAGTACCTCTCCCAAGGGGACACTTCTTTTGCAATCGTGAGGGTGTCCCTCAGCAAATTTGCCCTCCCCCTCCCACTTGGTTTGACAGACATAAATGACGTATGAGCCCACGTTCCTTTTTTGGTTTTTTTTCTCTTTGTTTGTTTTGTTTTGTTTTGTTTTTGTTTGTTATGGATATTATTTCTGAGTAAGAAATTTAGACCAGAAGGATAAGAATGAACCAAAAATAAACAAGCTTACCGACGGATGGAGAACAAGATTAATAGTGTTACTGATGACAGACTTAAAACTTTTTTTCCTCTTCTAGCCATACCTATCGGTTGCTTTAGGGACACTGGTCGTCGAGCGATACCAACTATGGAGGGCAGGAGCCGCCTCCTGAAAGGAAATTACCGACGAAGAAAGTTCGCGATTCAGAAATGCGGTGTCGCTGCAGAAAGGCGAGGATACAGAGTTTTTGCAATACAACACCAGGGATGGTGTGCTTCGTCCAGATTCGCTTATCGAACGTACGGAAGATATGGCAGATCAAAGAGGTGTAGGAATGGAAAAGGAGGACCATGGGCAAACACAGTTTACGTCCTGAAAGGTAACAAGAACTTCTCTTTCGGATTGAGTCAACCAACTAGTTTTTAATTAACTTTTGCAGATTTGCTAGGAGGTTTTGGATTTCCTTTGGCCTTTTCACTCCGGAATGTTTACATCTTAATCTCAAGTGAATCCCTCAAGAGTAATCAAAAGCAACCTTCGCATTCAGAATAAATGAGACAACTGCACTTACAATGAAGTTTTGCGCTTTAGTCAACAGCGCCGATTGAGGGGTACGAGGAGGGAAGAAGTACTTTATTTACCTTCTCTTGTTGCTTAAAATACTTACAGGGGAGTAGAGAAACATTTAATTTGTCAGCGACTGTAGGTCAGCTTAGAGTAGCTTCAACCGCCTTAGAACGACTCGGCCCCAAAGAACATAAGTATTTTGCATATCACGCCTTGGCGCCGACCTAACTCTAAGTGGGTATCTTCATCATTTAAAATACTTGATTCAAACGGGTCGGGGGGTAAGGGAAAGAAGGTTTTCAGAACTTTTGTAAGTTACTTGAATCTTCGCTACTGAATTCTTCATTGAAAGATTGTGTGAAAATCTGTCGTCGTCTCTTCTACCGGGATAAAAAGATATCCAATCCTATTGGATTAATTCTCTTTCAATATTCTTCTCCTACCTTCCAAGCCAACCAGAGTGATTAATTTTAGCTGTTACTCCTCTAGGTTCTGCTCGCGCTCGAACTACACGCAACAACGCATGCGTGTTTCCGTTTGTCTACAAAGGCAGAAGATACACCACCTGTTCAAGAGTCAATTCTAAGCGGCCCTGGTGCGCTATTACTCCTAATTATGACGTGGATAAACTGTGGGGATACTGTCGTGGCCGCGGAGGTACAGCTTTTTGTTAACCGCTTAACCCCTAGGAGCGACAACATCTAATTTCTCCTTACAATATCACGCTTGAATCAAACATTTAGGTCACGAGAATAGAACAAATGATCACCAAGTAAAGGAACTCTTGATTGTGAAACAAATTCTCCTTGTCAGCATCTTAAGAAATGTATCAAGAACAGTGTGGAGAATGTGCATACTGATGTTAGCTATGGTATAAAGGAAAACGCCATCGAGCACACCAGCGTACTCGCATAGTAGACTTAATTTCGTCACACCTAATTTCATTTCCATTTTCTCCTTGGTTTTACAAAGAATTTCTACCTTCTCCGTAAACGTTTTTTTATTTTACGAATTTCTTGAAAGTGAAAGGGAAAAAAAACTACTCAAAATGACACTTTGTATACCGGTTTTATTTCTTTAGTTCCTGCCACAAAGATCGCTCCATATATTAGCAGTAAGTATTACTTGTTTTGATCTCTTAATGTTTTCTTTTTTTTTTCTTGCGTTTTTGTTTTTTACTGCTTATTTTGAATGTTTGGATGACCTTCGAGGATTTTTTGTTAAAAAAATGTGATCGACGGATGGTATAATAGGGGTGACCCTTATTGAACGTCCTCTTTTTAATCTCTAGTTTTTTTGTTTTCTCAGTGGGACGAGCTAAATAAGAGAACTAATTATATAGTTTTTACCTGCAAATTTCAAGCAAATTTTCTTTCGTAACTATTCTTACTTGGCAATTCCCTGGCCCCCGCGATCAGTTTTGGTTAATAATATTTCCTTACTGTTCTCCCGCAGTTGCAAGAGAGCTATACAAAATGTGTCAGGTGATTCCTGGCTTATAACGTGTCATCTTTACTCTTGCAGTCCAAAGAATCGGCTGCTTCCGTGATACATCTCGCCGAGCTATCAAACCACTGGACGGCAAACTGTTGCTCGTTAGAGGAAATTACCAGAGGAGAAAGAAAGCCATCGCTAAGTGTGCCTTGGCTGCCTCTCGATTTGGTTTTACGGTGTTTGGAGTCCAACATGGCGGCTGGTGTGCATCGGATCCACGGGCTTACAGAACCTACGCCAAGTATGGCCGATCAAACAGATGCAGGAATGGAAAGGGAGGACCTTGGGCGAATGATGTTTACAGAATCTCAGGTTTGATATAATTATGTATCTATTTTAGTTACGTTTATCATGTGAACGACATAACTATCAAGAACTGTGTAGCAGTCTGATTTATTGATCGACTCATACCAGAATCGTATTTCTTTTTTCTAAAGCATCTTAGCCGGCCGGAATCTTCGAATGCAATTGGTTAATCGTGCAGTCGTCACCGGTCCATTTTTTACGATACGGATCACGGTCCGGAAAATTATCCGCGCCATTCGTGCAAAGCGGGAAAAAGCAAAGCAACTGAAAGTAAAAGTTAAATGATTTACCGGTCATGAATCGATTCTACATTCTGATTGGTCGTTTTGGTTAATAATTTCGGTTTGTGAAACTCATATAAGGTGCAGTTTACTTGTCTCACCGAGCTATCGGTACTATCGGTACTTATGTACTGTATAAATACTCGTAATTAATTATTATTATTATTATTATTATTATTATTATTATTATTGTTATTATTGTTATTTTTATCATCATTAATGGTTCCTCACCAGCCAAAACCTTCTGTTGACCTCATCGTAACTGATAAATTCTCTCATAACCTTTTCCTGTTTCTCATAATTCGGTGATCATATGATTTTGCCTCACTAGGAAAGTGTCGTCTTCGCACTACAACTGGCTATTGCTGTGTACCATTCACGTATCGCCGGCGTCGATACAGAGGTTGCGCTACAAACAGACGTGGCCAAAAATGGTGCGCAATTACTCCTGACTTTAGGACGAACAAACTGTGGGGTTACTGCAGGGGTGGAGCAAGACGTAAGTCATATTAATTTGCTTCATGTTTGTTCCCAATGTCTACGTTCTTTTGTTTCTCTGTTTTTTCAGTTTGTTCACTTTTGATTTGTATTTCTCTATTTGTGTCTTTCTGTATCCATCCGTGTTTTATTCTATTCATGTATGTCCTTCTGGTCAGCTATACACTACGTCCTCGGTAACTCGCAGTTTTTTTTTTTCAGTTGTATGTCTTTGTCTTGTTGTTTTGCCTGTGTCTTGTCTTCATGGTTGAACTTCCATCCTTACTTGCCTGTTTTATGTGCATCTGGCTTTGTCAGCTTTCCTTCATATAATCATAAGCAGGGTCTTCACCTGATTTCATTGAATTTTTTTAATTATCTACAAAACATAAACCAGTTGTCTTACGATTGATCTTTTCAGCCAAGCCAATAAAGGTGACAACTGGAGTGATAGGTATGTAATTTTTTTTTGTCATATTTCTAAAGAAATATTTTTATGAACATGAACAGCTCCGTTATGAGATAAATGACACAGTGATCGTTGAAGCTATCTTCCCTCTAACGGAATTGTACTAAAGCGTAATTTAAGGTCGTCTAAACTCCTGAAATACCAGTTTTTGTGAAAACTGATGTTATCTCACAAATAGGCAAATCTGTCGCTCTCGCGTAATACGTTCATTGTATTCGGCGACAGTAATCAGCCACTTAATTTGTGATATGTATAGAAAGATAAGTCATGCCAGAACTACCAAAATTAAAACGATAGATTTCATCCACTCTTCATTGCGAGGTCGTTGTAAAATTCGTCAGATTTTGATTTTTAATTACACCAGACCAAAAGGCGAAGTTTTAACCTTAAAAATATGCTGACCTCTATTTTCAGTCAAGTCAGGTGGCTGCTGGCGTGACACTGGTCGTCGAGCTATTCCTGGAATGGACGGCAGAGATATTCTACTTCGGGACTATTACCGAAGAAGAGCCGACGCCATTGACAAATGTGCTCTAGTTGCCTTGAGGCTTGGCCACGTCGCTTTTGCTGTACAACATCAGGGATGGTGTGCTACAAGTCGAAGAGCTCACTTGACTTACAGGAAGTATGGGCGATCCAATCGGTGTAGGAATGGAAAGGGAGGCCCATGGGCCAATGATGTGTATTTCATTCGAGGTGAGGCCAAAGAGATTGTCACATCGTGATATGAACAGTCCTTCTCAAGGATACTCTCGCCCGGACGATCAGACAATTCTATGAAAAGTAAAACGAGAAAAAAAATGGGACTTAAATTGGTTTCCGCTAAACACAGTATTTCCGCCTAAAGTAGGCCTGCTTAATAAAGCTCTCGCTTTGTTTTCGTAGGGAGGTGCCGAAAGAGGACGACTTCTCGCTACTGCTGCAGGTTCCCGTTCATCTACAAAGGCCGCCGTTATAACAGCTGCACTAAAAAGAATCACAATCGTCCATGGTGCTCACTGACCAGCAATTATGACAGAGACAAGAAATGGGGCAACTGTGCTGGTATGTTTCAGACCCTTTTACCCCCTGATTCTTCTCTTTATATGTCATTCGTTTCTTATATTTTAGCACCAAGAATTTGGTTTTAAATAAAACAAAATATCACCTTGCTGACATTCTTCTTTATCACCTTTCTCCTGGATATTGATTGTATCAACTTTGCAAGGAGAAGATTAATTTGTCAGGAGATGATTAATTGGTCAGGAGATGATTAATTGATGATTAATTGATAATTAATTGGTCAGGAGAAATTAGAGCTCGCTAAGGAATTTTTATCATTTTCACATTTTAAAACTGTTTATTACACAATGTCTCTTTAGAGTTTGGTTTGTCGCTTTCAACGGTCCTTTCCTCTATTATTGGTCGAAGTGATGTCTGCTACAGCTTTTCTGCTTCAACTTTTTAAAATCATTGTGAAGATTAATCACAAGACTCAGGGGTTTCAATGATGTTTTCCGTAAGTGCATGTCAATAATGTAATAGACCCGGGAAAGGGATCGTCGGGCAAAAACTTAAATACAAGAGCCTGCTGTCTTTTTAGCCAGCGGCAAGATCTCTTACATAGGGAGGTAGACTGTGGACTTCTCAGCTGTGATATGAAAAGATAACATGATTATTCTAATTTATCTTTCTTAGGACGTCGCCCAGTAAGACCTGTGAAACCGGTTAGACCAGTTAGGCCAGGTAAGAATTATACTTGGAACATGTACTTGCACTTCACTCTTTTTATTTGGTAAAAATATCTTGGCAATTCATTTTTCTTATTTTTGTTTTTGTCTACAGGAACACTTGTAAGAATCACCATTGGATTAAGAGGTTTGTATCGCTTTGAAAACATTCGTAATAACTAGGTTACTAATTCTTTTGCGCGATGGAAATTGTTCCATTCTTTTGTAAACAGCTGTGTTTGCCACTTTCAAAGCTGACAGAGCATACAGAGTTAAAAAAAAGAAAAGAATATGCCATACGTTGAGGAACTGTCCGTGCTTCCTAGTTGAATCTATATGAGTGAGTTTAGTTGGAAAGATGATAGTAGTGGGGGTGCACTCTCCACTTTACTTTAATTTATTTATTTTGTAAACGATATGTATGGATGTTTATGAAACTACTGTTGTGGAGCGAGTCTGTTCTCTTGCCATGATTTTCCGGCCTCCTTTATTGAATTCTTTAGATCCGCCTTTGAGATTCCATTTTCACAGTTATAAAAGTACAAAAAACTTAATTTTCCATGTCATCTTTTTTTTCCAAATCTTTTATACAGCAAAGAACATTGGTTGCTTCAGAGACACAGGCCGACGAGCCGTAGCTCCACTAGAAGGCAAAAGTCGTCTTCTTAAGGGAAGTTATCGTCGACGGAAGTACGCCATTAGAAAATGTGCTCTGGCTGCACAAAAACGAGGCTTTAGAGTGTTCGCAGTGCAGCATGGGGGATGGTGTGCTGCTTCCAGGACAGGACACTTAACCTACAGGAAATACGGAAGATCTAACAGATGTAGGAATGGAAAGGGGGGACCTTGGGCCAATGATGTCTACGTTTTGAGAGGTAAGAGAAAACGATATTTTGTTTTCTGGGGAAATTCTTAGATAAAAGCGATCTTTTGTGGGTGATTTACTGCACTGCATTCTGATTCAAACAGGGAACCATTTCTAGACATTATTTTGTCTGTACCATTTAATCTTCAAAACTTTCACCTTTTTTATCTTTCGTGCAAATCAACAAAGAAGTTGAAGAATTCAGATGCACCATCTGTTAAAATAGTTTTACACATGCTAAAGCCATTTCGATGAATTTTTTATCTTGTTCTTGGCAAATGCCGCAATCAATTTCGTCAGTGTTGCGAAGAATAAGTTTACAAGGTATTTTAAAGAAGGCGGGATAATGATTAGTGTACACTACTGAATCTACGCGGTTCAACTCGTTTCAGGCTCCTGCAGAACAAGAACGACGAGCCAGAACTGCTGCGTGTTCCCGTTTATTTACCGCGGCAGACGTTACAACCGCTGCTCCCAAGTCCGCTCCAGAGGTCGTCCGTGGTGCGCCCTTACTCCAAGCTATGATGTGGATAAACTGTGGGGATATTGCGGAGGACTAGGAGGTTAGAGACACATTTGTCTCGCCCTTGGAGACAACTTATTTTGTTTGGTCTTTTCTGCAGGGGAAGTTTGTACTTGCTATGCATTAGAAAGTAACAAATATTTAACGTGGATTTGTCTTCTTGATTGCAGTACGGCCTGTGAAGGTCACACCCTCAATAAGGAGTAAGTTATTTTATTTCATTTTGTAGACGATTATTATTTATGTCGTGCTGTTAATTATCTTTTCGTAAAACTTTTACGGAAAAGCTTTCTACTTCTATAGAAATATATATAAAGCTTTGATTAGTCTTTTGTCGACTAAATGAATTTTTTATTTTTAATCAAAATGATCTTGGCGCATAAATATACAGATTTTTTACATAAACTCACGACATGATTTTCGTATTTCTAGGTAAAGCTTATGCTAGTATTTTGATTTTTTTAATAAAGATGTCTTCTTTTGAAGGAAAATGATGTTATTCAGTGAATGAAACAGGCATGAACGAAGAAAATTTTATTTCTCAGTCCATGCCTGTGTCATTCGCTGAAGAACATCACCCTTCACTTGAATCACCGAACCTATAATTCACCGATTTTACCTCTTTTGTTTTCATTTATTTAAGCGTAAACCCCGTGTTTTTTTCTCCAGTTCAAAGAATTGGTTGCTATAGAGACACAGCTCGGCGGGCTATACCACAATTGGACGGGAGAAGTCGCCTTTTGAGAGGAAACTATAAATTGCGAAGAAACGCCATCAAATTATGCGCCTTGACTGCAGCTAGTCAGCGATATACCGTGTTTGGTGTTCAGGACGGTGGATGGTGTGCGTCAGGACCGCAGGCTCACAGAACCTTTGCAAGATATGGAAAATCCAACAGGTGTAGGAATGGCAAGGGAGGGCCTTGGGCCAATGATGTTTACAGAGTGTCAGGTATTGATTTGCACAAATGATCAACAGATTTAACAAATGGTGAACACCACAGCGTACACTTTTGAGTTGTGGATGTACGCGGGAGGTTGCAAAGCACGAAAGAAGCGTAGCGACTCTGGCTACTTTCGTGCTTAGCAAACCTCCCAGGTGCATCCATAACTCAATACTGTACGCTGTGGTGCTTACCATTTGATTTATAACACAAGATTGATACATTTTAGCAAAAGACTTCCCTTTCACCCAACATCTTACGTGACCAGAAAAAAACAAGCGCGGAAACAAGTCTTTGCATTTGCTCACGTTAGCAGCGTACACCCATGGGCAAATAGTGGAGACTAAATTAACCAATCAGAGCGCGCGCTTTACTTTGGTTATGCTATAATCTAAGGTTTGTACCACCTTTGAAGTACAAAAAGCGTAGTTGAAATATAATGCAACAAAAATGAAACAAATTTTTTCTTTCCATATCTTAAAAAAAGGTACGTTCGGTTGTCTCACGATGAAGTCACACACGATAAAAAAAGGCCATGTTTTTACCGCATTCTGCTCGTCTTCCTTTGGCGATATTCCGTTCTTTTCTGTCTGTTTCTTGAAAATTTAGAACAGTCAACAGATTCATGCACTGATTTGGGGGTTATTGCGTTTTATATGTAAACTTGTCAGCAATAACTTAGCAAGAAACTGAAAGCTCAAACCATTTCAAAAAGCCTCAGTGGAATCTTATTGCATGCTTGCTATGGCTTGCTGTATTTTCTATGATTCTTTATCCTAGGAACATGTCGTCAGAAGACTACTCGAGGTCACTGCTGCGTGTTTCCGTTTGTATATCGCGGCCGCAGACACTATTCGTGTACTAGACTTGGAAACACAAGGCCGTGGTGCCCAATCGCTCCTGGAGGATTTCGGAGGGGAACACCTTGGGGATACTGCAGAGGAAAACGATGTAAGAAACCTCCAAGTTACTCATTTATTGGTATGCACCCCTGTAATTTCCAAGAATTGTTTCAGGCTCTTCCTTCAGGAAGGTTTCCACGATAATACCTTACTTGCATTTCTTTCAAGGTTAGGGCAGGGGGAGTTGGTAGAAGAGGGCTTGTCAGGTTCTTGTTGTTGTTTTTTTTTCCTTTGAATTTGTCTTTCTAAATAAAACCCATGATCAACTTTTGAAACGAATATTCTTAGTGTATCCGTAGTCTTGCTGTCCTTTCAGTACTTAGGCTTCGATTAAGTGTTAAATAGGCGTCACAAAATTAAACATTTTGCACTTTGTTTTGTCGTCATCAGCTCCACCCATACGAATTACCACGGGAGTCAGCGGTAAGCGAGGTTTTTGTCTGAGAGTTTATTCTTTTGCTTCCCTCTCTGGGTAAGAAAATTGAATTTAAAATTGACATACTTTCTTCTTCAGCCAAGACTATTGGATGTTTCCGAGACACTTGTCGACGTGCCATTCCCCCAGCGGAAGGTCGAGATTCTATCCTCAAAGGCTATTACCGAAGAAGAGCGGACGCCATTACCAAATGCGCTTTGGTAGCCATGAGATGGGGATACAGTGTGTTCGCTGTACAACATCAGGGATGGTGTGCTACAGGTCGAAGAGCTCACTTGACTTACAGGAAGTATGGACGATCCAATCGGTGTAGGAACGGCAAAGGTGGTCCGTGGGCTAATGATGTTTACAGCGTAAGAGGTAAGTTTTGACGGGCTACAAACCTTTTCACAAGAAATAAAATGGCAGTAAAGGCGTTTAACTCGTATGTTACGAACATGGAAGAAAAAAAAAGAAGAGCCTGCGGTCTCAACAAGAGTTCATCTGATGACCTACCGCATACTGATCTGATACGCATGCGCCACCACTAAATTGCAGGGAGACCATGTGGCATACTCGGGCGCGTATGCGTTTTCTTTAGGACGCACATTAGGTGCGATCTGTGTACTGCCGTGATCATTGATGACAAAATTATTATATGCAGTAAAAGATAAGGAATAGACAATGACACAAAAAAAAGATAACGTAYGGMTMGMRC